GGTTAATTTCATTTGTAATTTATTTTCAGATTTGTTGGTCACATATAGTTTTTCAGTCACATATTGTCAAATTTTTAGGTCATAGTTAAATACTTGATCACAGATCAATATCCCACCCCGCCACCGTCACAACACCACCGCCAACAAAAATCATCAGAACCACCACTGCCATCACCACAACCTCACCAACATAATCGTCTCCACCGCCAACACGACCACCACCGAAACCATTACAGCCACCAGGACCACCAACAAACACCAAAACACCACCACAATAACACCACCAACACTACAATAGCACCCAACCACCACTGCACACAGCATTGATCTGAAAAGCCACCACCACAAAAAAGGAACTATCCAGCCACCACCACAAAAAAGGAACTATCCAACACAATTCCATCTATGATAAATTCCATCCACTCCTGCCATGAAAGGACTCAAAAAGAAGGTTTTGAAGTCCATACAGAAGCTAATCTACGGCGAGGATGAGGAAGCCAAGAAGTTCTCTAACTGCGCCATTTGCCTGGCAGAGTTCGCCGCTGGAAAAGAGCTAATCTACGGCGAGGATGAGGAAGCCAAGATGAAGTCGCCATTACTGATAGATCTGTGTATAAATTTATGTTTATTGATGGGAGTTGTGACATTGGATGAAGGAAATGGAGGCCACACAGAAGTTGATGGGAGTGGTGACGGTGGATGAAGGATCTGGACAGGTCTAATTGTTGGGAAGAAGGAGACGGCGGTGGTCTAATTGTCTCGAGCACCGTACTGGCGATGGAGAGAGAGGAGATGAGGCGGGGGAGAGGGAAGGAGAGAGGAGGCGGGGAGAGGTGAGGGAGTTGGAATGAAAAATTAGGGTTAGATTTTTAATATATTACCTGATTTTTGAATAAATAACTTTTGGACCTGATTTTTAAAAAGTTATTTTTAAGTACCTAGATTTATGTAATTTTTCTCTAATTAAATCCCCTTTTTAGCCCACTGTAGCAGAAGGAGAAACTGACGGAAATTCTCTTAAGCGAAAGGAGCTTGGGGCTGAAATCGAAGTGAGGAAGAAACCTAGGAAACTGATTGATGACGAACCCGACCTGGATATGGCAGAGGCTGCCATGCAGCCCTGTCAATCACCATGAAAATGCTGTTTTGGAGCTGCCGAGGGCTTGGGAACCCTTGGACAGTTCGAGAGCTTCACTGGACGGTGAAGGAAAAGTGCCCGAGTTTGGTCTTCCTCTCCGAGACCAAACTCCATAGTAATATATTGGAGAAGGTAAGACTGAAGCTTAAATTTGATAATTGCTTTGTAGTTGATTGTGTGGGTAGGAGTAGCGGTTTGGCTATGCTTTGGTTGGATGAGGTTAATGCTTCTCTGTTAAATTATTCTAGCCGTCATATATCAATGAAAATTAAGGTTGATGATTCCAATTTAACGTGGGTGTTATCCGGATTTTATGGCCACCCGATTACAAATAGACGGAGGGAGAGTTGGGAGCTCATGAGAATGATGTGTCCGGCGAGCCCGTCCCTATGGTTGATTATGGAAGACTTTAATGAAATCCTCAACCTCGATGAGAAGTTTGGTACAACCACGAAACCATTTACTTAAATGGATAATTTCGGCAAGGTGATCAAAGAGTGTAACTGAGTGACATGGGTTTTGTTGGAACTAAATTTACATGGAGCAATAAGAGGGAGGGGAGAAACTTCACCAAAAAAAGGTTGGATAGAGCATTTGCCAACACTTTTCTCCAATCTATTTTCAGCAAATGTGAGGTGCAGGTGCTTCCAGTTTCAAACTCAGACCACAACCCGCTCTTCATAACTTGCAGTAACAGGTAGGATAAATTGGAGTCCCGTCCCCAAAAATTATCTCGTTATGAAGCTGCTTGGTCTGGGCAGCAGGAGTGCAGAGATAGTATTGAATGTTCCTGGCCAATCACTGGGCAACAGAGCAGTCATCTACGTAGTTTCAAAGCAAGTTTAGTGGGTGCAATGAGAGACTTCAGTACTGGGCTAAGTGCAGCACAAGAACCGATATAAGGAACCTAAGAGCTTTGGGGCAAAAACTCAAGTTGTTGCAGAATAACAATCAAGGGGAACTGAATGGAAGAATAAAAGAAACTCAGAAGCAGGTGGATAAAATGTTAGAAGATGAGGAAATCAAATGGAGGCAACGCTCTAAACAAAAGTGGCTTAAGTGCGGGGATAAGTACACTTCTTATTTCACAAATGTGCTTCCCAAAGAAGGAAACATAACACCATCGATCGTATTCTGAACGAAAGGGGTGAAAAGACTAGATTTGTAACACATTCCAATCCTTTTACCAGAAATTGTTTTCGACCTCCAACCCTTCTGGCATTGAGGAGGCATTACAGGATCTAGACGCCAAATTCCCATCAGAAATGAACATCTATTTACAGAAACCGTGTATTAACGAGGAAGTCAAGCGAGCAATTTTTGAAATGGATCCCTTAAGCTCACCTGGTCCAGATGGTTTCTCAGCTGGCTTCTATCAAGACAATTGGGACTCTCTTGGGGAAGACTTATGTGCTGCAGTCAAAGATCTTATAGCTTCCAAACAAGGGTTTAATGAAATCAATGATACTCTTATTGTTCTAATTCCAAAGGAAAAGTCTCATGTATCTGTTTCTGATTTTAGACCTATCGGCCTGTGTAACGTTTTTTATAATGTTGTATCGAAAGTGTTGGCTAACAGGCTTAAATGTTTCTTGTCTACTATTATTTCACCAGCTCAGAGCGCTTTTATTCCTGGACGCTTGATATCTGATAACATCATTGTGGCTTATGAAGCTTTCCACTCCATAAAGTATCGAGTCAAAGGAAAGAAAGAAGGTTGGTTACATAGCTCTAAAGCTGGATATGAGTAAGGCATATGACCGCATTGAGTGGTGTTTCTTAGAAGCTGCTTTAAGAAAACTTGGCTTTGGCGAAGGATGGATTGAGCTTATCATGCACTGTGTCCAAACTGTGAAATACTCCCTGATCATTAATGGCGAGCCACAAGGTCAGTTCCAACCTAAGGGGGGATTAAGGCAAGGCGACCCTTTGTCCCCCTACCTCTTCATTCTGTGCTCCGAAGTACTTGGCAACCTACTGGACAAAGTGGAGGAAAAAGGGATCATTTCCGATTTTCCTTTTGCGAGAGGTAATCTTCTAATGAACCATCTATTTTTTACAGATGACAGTCTGATTCTCTGCAAGGCAAACGTTCTAGAATGGTGGCGTCTTTCCTACATTCTGAAGCTATTTGAAAGTGCATCGGGGCAAAGGCTAAATATGGATAAGACCTCCATCTATTTTAGTGCCAACACTAAATCGGAGATCAAGGAAGCAGTCCTTCAAGCAGCCACAATAAATGAAGTAAAATCCTTTGAGAAATACTTGGGTTTGCCAGCTTATGTTGGAAGGAATAAAATGTCGGCATTCAAACCGGTTCTCGATTCGATAAGAAGCAGAATGAGCAGCTCGACTGTTAAATTTATATCGCAAGTGGGCAAAGAAGTTCTCATTAAGGCCATTATCCAAGCCATTCCCACATACTGTATGAGCATGTTTAAACTTCCAAGAACCATTCTTCAAGCCATTAATCAACATGTTAAGACCTTTTGGTGGGGCAGCAGAGGGGACAGAACAAAAACACAATAGCTCTCTTGGAACTTGCTGGGGAAGTCGAAACATGATGGAGGACTTGGCTATAGAGATTTTGAGTTGTTCAATCTAGCTCTATTAGCAAAGCAGGGATGACGTCTTATTCAGAATCCAGACTCCTTGGCTGTAATGGTGCTTAAAGCGAAATATCACAGCAGAACAGACTTCTTGAACAGCAAAATTGGGAGCAATGCATCTTTCTTATGGAAGAGTTTTTCAATTGCCAAAGAAGTTTTACGGGAAGGACTTTTTTTGGCGCATAGGAAACGGTGAATCTGTGGTTATTGGAAAGGACAAATGGATCCCTCAAGCTTCCACCTTCCAAGTTCAATCTCTCTTACCAAGCCGTTTTATACAAGGAAAAGTGAGCGAGCTTATGGACACGGACATGAGAACCTGAAATCAGCAATTGATCTCAGGAATTTTTGATGAGTCAGAAGCTAATCTCATTTGTAAGATCCCTATCAATGCAAGCGGATGTCCTGACAAAGTCATTTGGCGGGGCAAAAAGGATGGTAAATTTACAGTCAAAAGCGCGTATCATTTTCTGAGCCAGATTAAACAAGAAGTTTTGGGTCAATGCTCCACAAGTAAAAGCCATAATGATGTCTGGAGGAAAATTTGGAAGCTAAAGGCATCGAATGCTAGCAAAGTGTTACTATGGCGTGCATCACATGAATCCCTACCGACTAATCTGAACTTGAACAGAAGGAAAATAAGGGAGTCTCCATTATGTCCAATTTGCACACGGGAAGAAGAGTCTATAGTTCACGCCCTGTAGCTTTGTGTTTCCGCCCAAGATGTTTGGGGTTTAAGTTCATGAAAATTACAGAAAGTGTCCTTCATGCCAATGCACTTTAAAGACCTAGTATGCCATTTGTTCAGCAATCTGCCCGAAGAAGAAATGGAGACCTTTACAGCTACAATTTACCTGATATGGAAGAGGTGAAACTCCTTTGTATTTGAGAACAAATTTGATAGTCCAACAACTGTCTCATGCACGGCTCGTCAGAATGCTTTGGATTTTAGAATGGTGAACTCCCTTCCGGTATTTTGCAGACAGCTCGAACTGAGGTCGACTATTCTAGAAGGAGATGCTATGAATGTCGTGAAGGGACTAAATGGTGAATTGGAATTTTGGAACTATCCCGGCTTACTAATCCAGGATACGAAGAACATGCTTGATTTTTTTCACTTTTGGTCTGTTTGTCATGTACCTAGAAAGGGTAATTTGGTTGCTCATATTTTAGCAAATGAAACGCTTAAAACTCTCTGAGGAGAGAATTGTGCTGCAAGAAACTCCTCCTTGCATTCAACACTTGCTATATTGATGTTTCAATGAAATGTTCTCTTTTCGCAAAAAATTTTCAAGATTGCACATTGTTGGAAAAATAATCATTACAAAAAAGTAATGAATAGGATACCGAAATTTCTATGCAATCAACGTCAATTACGTCACCAAGGAGAATTCATTCCAATTTGTTCAATACACAGGAGGTATTTACGTAACTTCAAATTACAATATGAAAAATTTGAGTGCAGAAAAAAGGCGCAGATTTTTTGGCCACTAAATTTTTTTTTCTAAGAAAAAATAATTAAATAAAAGCGTATGTACTGATAACATGTTATAAATTAAAGAGAGAGAGAGAGAAGCCAATGAATGTGTATTTTATTAAGAATCAAAATTTTAGGAAAACTTTGGGATAAAATGATAAAAAAATTAGGACCGCAAAAGTATAATTGTAATTCACTAATAATCATATTATTTACAACAAGAAGGAATTTTTTTTTTTTTTTTCCCAAACAAATATGTGAAGATATCTTGTAATTTTTTAAACTAGATTAGGTGTTTGAGATACATTCAGGGATATCTATCATTTGCTCATTGGAATAATAACAACTTTTACTCTCTCTATTTGCGTCCCTCTTTCAAAATAACAACCTTCATGCAAAAACTCTCTAAATAAAGTTAAATTACTCTTGATCATAATTGTATTGCGCACGTTTTCTAATTCTTAATATAAAACATTTTTTATGCCTTATGAAATACATATTACGACACAAACTAGATAAAAAAAATTTAACTAACAAAATTTCTCTCCTTATTAAATAATATAAAGTTCATGCAATTACATAAATATTTTCATTAAATTACATTAACATTAAATAATACAAAATGTTCCAAAATCCATAAAACATCATCATATCCTATAGGCAACAACATTCCATCCTAGATCTCTACAAGCTGCTGGGAATTATGAGCTACAAGTTGGTAAGACTTGAAGCCTAAATGGTAAATATCCTTCCTTGTATTTATACAAATTATTTCCCATACATATGCCATAGTATACAATTATGATATGAATAAAACTAAACGTTTTATACAAATTATTCCATACATGGCTCATAGAAAATGCAACTGTAAAACGAAAAAAACTGTGAATTCAGAACAATTCTAATGATGACAAACAATTTTAGAATCATTACTCATTTTGCAAACAATAACACATTCACTTAATGTAAATTTTCCAAACAAAGGAATTGGCATTTGTTAAAACTAAATAATTTTAATAAAATTGAAGTTAAAACAAATTATGACGTGAGAACTTACATATTAATTTGGCATCGCTCATCTTATCTTCCAGATGCTACTCTATCTCCATGGTGATGGTGATGGTGATTGTGATGGCGATGAGATGAAGAAGGCATGGACTTACTTTTGGATTCTTTTGGTTTTCCAATAGCTGATATTTGTTCCAACGTCTCTCCAACTTCTTTCATTGAAGGCCGCTTTCTGGGTTCTGATTCAAGGCATCTTAAACTGAGTTGAGCAGCCTGTAAAGCTGCCTTCGAAGAATACTGGCCTTCCATCCGTGCATCCATAATGCTCATTAGCTTCCTTCTCTGACAGAGAAAGGGTTTAGCATAATCAACCAAATTCTTCTGGCCACTAGGTCGTTTGTTATCAAGTGCACGTAAGCCTGTCAAAATCTCAAGCAGCACCACGCCAAATCCATACACATCACTCTTTACATAGAGATGACCTGTTTTCAAAAATAGAATATGTTTAACATGGAATGGAGCATGAAGGGAAAGTTCAACGCATTGTGAGCTCAAGTTTCCAAATGTTGAACTAGTTATCTTTATTCACCAATTCTTCCTTTCTTTTACCATATAATAATTTGATTGGTGGGTTTCCTTCGTTCTTTTTCTTTTTCCTTCTTGGGAATTGGGATGGTAGTTCTATGACTGCACTATTTGCCCAGACCAAATGGAATCCAGCATGAAGCAATGACAATGTTTATCAGGGTTGGTATGTGTTCAATTAGTCTGAAATGGAAACCCGGTATATAAATTCTAGAACAATAATATACAAGAATGTCATAACCCGAGGCCAACCAGAGTCCAGCTTGAAAGGTGTGCTTGCATTGTGGGAATGAATTGGGGAAAGCATGATTTACATATAGTTATTGGTAGAGGTATAAATGGGCCAGGTGTATCTAGTGTTGGATCGAATTGAAGAAATGATACAAACTTTTTTCCTTCACTCAATTTGATCCAACACTTTGTCTATTGAAAGGTCTAGTAAAACTAAGTAATGGATCAAACTTGGTACAACGCTAGTATTAGGTGTAATCCTGACTAAAAACCCTTCAATACACATGGTTACATCTCTCATATTGGCATCTTCACACTGAAGAAAGTAAAAATTGGAGTCCAATTATCAGACCGATAATGAAACTACAGAAGACATGACGGCCAGAAGCCTTTTCTCAGGAGAAATCCAACCATAATTCTAGATGTACTGTGGCAATTACGCAACGTTTATGATGCTCTTGTGAGACCCTTTCAGACAATTTGTTTTCTTTTTCCTTTTATTTTTTAAGATAACACTGCCCGGGATCCTCATATTATCTGGCTCTTTATTTTTGTACCGGTCAAATGCCAAACTAATAGTTCCTCCAATGCGTGTCTAAAACATTGCATCCTACAACAGAAACTTATTGCCCCTTCCGTAATGGAGCTTCAGAGAAGATTCCAGTTTATTCTTAGACCATTGACTAAGCCCTTGTTTTCTAATGGAGTTTCTAATAGACACACTCAAATAGACACTCACCTGTTGCAACATATTCAGGAGCCGCATAACCATATGTTCCCATAACTCGGGTTGTTACGTGTGAATTCCCCTGTGCGGGCCCTAATTTTGCCAAGCCAAAGTCTGATATTTTTGCATTATAATTCTGCAACACAAGAAAACATCATTAGAGAGCTAAACTATTAGCAAAAACATTTATGTAACATTCCACTAATTTACTTCAACCAGCACAAAGTTACATTAGAGATGAAAGGAAAATCTTGAAACAAATGGACAGTATAATAAATACTAAGATCTAGTTGGCACGTCATCTTGGCATTTATGGACAAGATGTTAAAATATAAGAGTTTGCATGAATCCCTTTAATTCGAGGTATAAACGTTTGACAATAATTAGAATCATTATTTCATATAATCTCCATTAAATGCAAATCATTCAGTAATCTGTGAGCTGCATATGGATGTCCCGAAGCCCCCACTCCCTCCCCCTCCAGGCCAGGAGTTCTAACCACAACTCTAAATTCCTTATACCTCGACACCATATAATCGAAGATGCAGGATCTGCTTCTTTAAAAATTATATCTCTAGTTTTAGATGTTTGCTTAGCACCTGAATAGCAATGGTAAGGATGAAAAGAGAAGATTTGAGTAAAAGGGAATCTTACAATTGGCACCACCGTTAGAATTTGAGTGTGACCCGAATTCTTTGTTGAAGATAATTGAGAGTTCTAATTAAAGTGATATTAAGAAGAATTTTATTTGGAATGCTATTCAAGTTTATTTAGCGATTTCTAGTTGAAGTTCTACTTGGAAGTCCAATTGGGAGTATGAATTTGTATTGGACTTGAAGAGGATAGTAGGATGAAAGAAATTTTGAAATAAAGAACCTAAAAGTGGGCGCCGCGGCGTCATGTGGATATTTTTGCCCTGTGTGATTTTTTGTTCTCTACTCTGTTTTTTGCATTCTACTTCAACAACTTTACTATGAAGGTTTGGACGCTCCTATTTGTTCTCTATTTATAGTTAGCTTTTCATTATGATTTAATAAGAAGTTAGATTCTTGAAAACACAATTTTTTTTATTATTATTATTTCTCCATATTATAATAAAATCTCCATTTTTTGCAAATTATTTGTTCTTGTGTTTCTGTGATCATTTCATATTGTGGCTATAATTTCTTATTTTCTCCAACAATTTGGTATCGGATAAATTCGGTATCATTTCCGCTTTTCATGACAATTGGTATTAGAGGTGAAGATTTTTTGGTGGGTTCTTGGGAGGTCCAAGTTGGTTATTAAAGCGAGGTTTGAACAATATCAATTGTTTCAGAGATGATAACTATGAAATTTGAGATTCTGCTTTGGGATCGCTACTGTAGATTCTCATTGTGTAGATCAAGATGCGAGTAGTTCTTGCTCAATTGATTCTTGATGATACTTTGTTGGGGATAGATAGAATGCCCGCAACAATGACTGCAGAGGAAAAGCAATGCAAGGATAAAAAAAACCCTATCACAAATACACCTTCATTTTTCTAATCAAATTCTTTAGGACGTGATAAAGGAAAAAAGTGGCGCTGGATTGTGGTTGAAATTAGAGCAACTTTGTATGACAAAGAGTTTGATCAGTAAGTTCACTTGAAGCAGCACGATTGTGTAGCATACTGCAGCCCAATTTCAGTGGTTATTTGTTTCTTATTCGTTGTGTGCGCATATTTTTTATTTTTATTGTGTAGAATGGTTTAAAACGTATTAAGAATGAAATTCAAAGAATTNGGTTTAAAACGTATTAAGAATGAAATTCAAAGAATTAGGGATGCACTAGTGTATATCACGATTTCACCTAATAGAAAACAAACATTTGATAAATTTTGTGCCGAATTTGGGGTGACGAATACGAAAACATTTGTCAGTGACATAGGGCATAGATGGAACTCCACTTATTATTAAAATCATGCGAAGGTTTTGAGCATTTAATAATTAAATTTTATAACAATAGACATATTAGAAACGACGATAAAACTATTTTGACTGAATTCGATTGGCTTTTAGCTTGTAAAATTTTAAAGAAAAAATTGACAAGTTTTTATGACTCTACAAATATTTTATATGGAATTTACTATCACACTAGTTGTATGATACTTGAACGTCTTTATATAATTGCAAGGGCTTTTCATAAATACAAAAATGACCCTGATTGTAGTGCAATTATATATTCTATAAAATTAAAGTTTAGAAAATATTTGGAATACTTACCTATGTTATTTCCTTTAGTATGCATCATGGGCATTTGATACAATTTATCAGGTACTAAATACATTTGATCAGATTTCAAGAGTTTTAACTTTTAATACATCTATCACTTATAGAAATTTAGAATAAACTTTATGTGAAATGTATGAATTATATGCGGAGCAAATGGGTGCAAATATTAGTTGGGTACCCTATGCACCTACTCTTCCCACTGATATTGAAGAAAACAACGCTAAAATATTAGCTTTATTCAAAAACATTAACACGTATAGATATGATGCAAATGCAATAGGTTACTCTAGTAATAGTTTGTCTACTGTATGTAATCAAACATCAGACCCAAGTCAAAATACATTGTCTGCTGAATTAATTGATTATTTTAATCATAATATGCCTAATAACAAAACAATTAAAAAAATTTCAGATGAAGTCATTGAATTCTTGCGAAAGTACAAACGACGATAGGTAGTGGTTTCCGCGATTGCAAAAGACTTACAACTCCGATCAGTACTATAGCTTCGAAATTGCATTAATGTGCGTGAAGGATTGGCAAGATGCTCATTTTCAACTATAAGATAAATATGTCGAAATTGCATATCAAGTAAATGATATTTAATTTAACCATATTAATCAAAATTTGTTATTTTATAATACTGTTTTTAATTTTTTTTAAAAAAATTGTACATGTACATGTACAAGTTGTTCGTGTACAATTTTTAACTCCGTTTACTTGAAATTTAAGTAGCTAATCTCAAGTTTGGATAAAGAAAGAGGGTTTATCTATTATATAAAATAAAAAAGGGAAATAAACGAGCTCATGAACCGAACCTCAATCAGCACATAAGCTACGAGCTCAAGGGTCTAGTCAAGCTCACCCCTTAAATAACGAGCCATGAGCTTGGCTCATGCTCGTGGCATGAGCCGACTAGGCCCGTTGCCACCACTAGGGATTGCTATGAGTAGCGGAACAGATTTGCTACTACAAATCAGAAGGAACAACCAGAAAATTCCGTTAATATCAATCTTGCAGAAGAAAACAGTGATGGAGATCTTTTGGTGATTATTGATGGTGACTCCAAATCTGACAAAGATAGAATTCTTGAATCAACCTGTACTTTTCATATGTGTTCAAACCAGGATTGATTTTCTTCAAATGAGGAAGTTACAAGAGGTTCCGTGATGATGAGAAATAATGAGCCTTATAAAATAGTTGGGATTAGTAATGACAAAATGAAGATTTTCGATGGGAAGTTAAAACACATGACTAAGTTCGACATGTTCCAAGTATAAATAGGAATTTAATCTCGTTAAGTACTCTTGATTCAGAAGAGTACAGGCATACTCGTGGAGGTGGAGTTTTGAAAGTTAGCAGTGATGCCAGGGTTGTGTTAAAGGGATGGAGAAAGTCCCGGTTATATGAATTCAAAGGTTCGACGGTCATTGTGGAAGCTGATGCAGCTTATGGTTTGATAAGCAGTAACTCAGGTAGAATTGGTTCTAATCGGGTTGTTCGTGGTGATTCGAGCAGTTTTGGTGACTTGACTGGATTTGGAAGTGAACAAGATGCTTCAAGCAAGGTTTACAGGCAAGGTAGTTATGCTCGTAAGTAGGGCTTGGATTTAGTTCACAGTTGTTCAGTATGCCCAATAGTAATATGGTGGAAGAGTTGGAGAATGACTTGAAGAGTGAAGACTTAATTCATGGCTATGGAATTTGTTTTAAGGTAGAGTTTGTTATATTCGTGACCAAAATTTTGTGTGATTTAGAAGTTTGATTCATGGAGAAGCCTAGATAATGTTGGTTTGAAAGCCCAGTCTGATAATGGATCAAATTAGTGATGGCAAAAAAATCCACTCCTAATGGGACGAAAAAAACCGTCCCGACGGGTTGGCGGGACGAGGCAAAGCGGGGACCTCTGCCCAGTCACAGGTCTCAGCGCAGAGACGCCCCACCCAAGAGTCCATAGAAAACCTAAATTCCCAATTTTTTTCTCTCAGCCAGTCAACCTTCAGCCTTTCACCTCTCACTCTTGCCCTCGACGTCACCTTCCAAGTTCCAATCTCCGAGGACACTTTGAATTCTGAGGTAGCGAGGTTTGTTTGTTTATAAATACATATAATTTTCTTGATTACATTATGTTTATTGTAGTTGTTAAGTAAGAGAAGAAACAGATAAAATCAAGAAATTATTTTTTAAAGCCACTATAAAAATCGCAAAAATACTAGTCGATTTGTAGTTTGCAATCATCTGTTGTTCAGTAAGTCAATGTGATCTAACCATATTTGTCCACTTGTGCTAAAAATTATTGTGCAATATAGGTCTAAATGATAAAATAATAGGAATTTTTCTTGTACTTATAAACGTGAATTGTGGGTGCTTTTTGTTTTTTGTTCATTCTTAATATTTAATTATTTAAAGCATAATTTATATATTCTCTATGAAATTGGCAATTTTTCTTGTATCATTGAATTCCACTTTTCCTAGTTGCCCATCTTGGTCAGTTTTCTTTCATTGCTTAAAATTCTGAATTCATCATTATGTAGGAATAGGTTAAGTGTTGGTTTTCATAAAAATGTAAGTGATTTAACTATAATTGTCCTTTTTGGTTTCTCAACATACTTCGGGAAGCAACTCAGGAATAGAGAATGCTAAATTAACATATTTCATCAACTTATTGATTCTTTTCTTTTTTCAAAAATTTCCACTTCCTACTCACTCTGTGACCTTTATGATCTTGGCTTATGATTCAATTACCATGTATTTACCTATTGAGTGTCAAAGTTTATTCTTTTTATGCGATTGTAGTATGTTCTTTATGAATCCTTTCTGAAGTAAAATACAGTGTGATGTATAGTATTTTCTTCCATACTTGTTCTTTCACTTTAGTCGGCAGAGTTCATATGCATAAATTACAGATATGTAGAAGTGAGGATTGTGTACATTATATTGCTTTTGAGGAGCATAATGTATTATCACTTCATTGAGTATGATTTGAAGTTTTTATTTATTTTATCCTTGTTACTTGCACAGATGTCTTGCCCAAGTAGTATAGCTAGTGCTGGAAGTATTGGATTAGGACCAATACGCGAGGAAGATAGCACGACCAATATACCGGTGAGCGATGTCCAGCAAGAAGATCCCGCTGAACCATTACCAAATGCAAATGAAAGGCAAATAAACCTAAGTGACGAAGAGCGTGATATTGGAGAACCATCTTTTGAAAAGAGGAAATTGACTTCAGCTGTTTGGGAGCACTACAAAAGACAAAAAAAATGGTGAGAAATGGAAGGTTATATGCAATCATTGCAAGAAACAGTTAGGGGGGTAACACAAAAAATGGTACAAAGCATTTGCATGATCATTTGAAGAGATGTGTATTCCGTCGTCATGATAATACTTGCCAAACAACATTAAATTTGAAAAAGGATGCCGTGAGTGGCAAGGTCACAATGGGTACTTACTCTCTCAATCTAGATAAGTGTAGGTATAGTCTAGCGAAAATGGTGATTTTGCATGAGTATTCTGTCTATGGTTGACCACATTGGATTTCGAGAGTTCTTGCACGACCTGCAACCATTGTTTAAGGTTTCTTCTCGCAACACTTTGAAGAGCGACATTTTGAAAATATATGAATACAAGAAAGCAAAAAATATGATTGCACTCGAGAAGATTGAGAGTCGAATTTCAATCACTACCGAATGTGGACCTCTTCTAANTTTCCTCGTTTGAAACAGAGGGAGTCGCAGTATAAATGTTTGCCTAGTGATGGTGATTGGGATTTGGCAAAAGAAATATGTGAGAAGTTAAAGGTTTTTTTTGAGATTACTGAATTGTTTTCAGGAACAAAGTATCCAACTGCTAATCTCTTCTTTGCAAATATTTGTGATATCAAACTGTCATTGTATGAGTGGCTTGAATCTCCTTGTGTAGAGGTTCAAATGATGGCAACCAATATGATGGAAAAGTTTAACAAGTATTGGAGTGATATTCATGGAGTTATTGCTTTAGCTACAGTGTTGTATCAAAGGTATAAGATGATGTTAGTTACTTATTATTATCCTCGTATTTTTAATTACAACATTGCAAGTGAGATTGAAAAAATTTATCAAGTTTGTAGTAAGTTGGTGCATGATTATTAGAAAAAGAATGATTCGAGTGGGTCTGCAGCTCAGTCTTCTACTTCTTCTTGTCAAACAGAGACATCAAGTGCTAATAATAAATCAGATCGCACGGCTGGTTTTTATAGATTTGTTTCTAATGTTGGAGCTTCTAGCAATGTTAAAACTGAGCTTGAATCTTTCTTGGATGAGCCTATATTGCCTAGGTCGGATGATTTTGATATATTAACATGGTGGAAAGTAAATGCAATCAAATATCCGACTTTTATCTCAAATTGCAAAAGATATTTTGGTCATCCTGGTATCTATAGTGGTGTCCGAATCTTCCTTCAGTATTAGTGGTAGATTTATTAGTCCACACAGAAATAGGCTTCACCCGAAAACTTTGGAGGCTTTAATGTGTACTCAAGATTGAAAATGGGCCGATATTCACAGTACGATGTATATAAAGTTATGAAGATGGAAAAATATTAAATTTTGGATAAAAAAATGAAATTTAATTACATTGTAATTCTACTTGCAAATATTTAATTTTGGACATTGTTTGTTTCGAGTGTTTGTTTTGGATATTGATGTAGTTAGGTTGAGTATTATTTGCTTTGGATTTTAAAATTTAAAATACGTATTTTAACTGGAAATTTTTGAAAAGAAAAAAAAGAAAATGGGTTGGTTCGCGGCCCGCACCGCCCCGCACTGCTGTCGTCCCTAAATCAAATTTCATCATAGATTGGGAGTTTCACTAGGAAAAGACTTTGGAATTGATGAAGAAGTACTTTGGAAACACAAGGACAGAGCCGAAGCGCTAGGGCGCCAGCAACTCACAAGGGAGACAAGGCGTGGGTGCCAAAGCACCGGACATGGGCACTACGACAGCTAAGGCCATGCCAGCTGTGTGGGGCCATCAATACGGGGAAGAATTCCATTCCCAGTTGGTTTCTAACGTGATTTTTGTACTCTACTTCATCTATAACACCAAAATTGAGCTCCTATAAATACTCCATGAGGTATAAGCTCTTGATAGGCTCAAATAACAATTAGATCATTATTGTATACATTAAAAACTTGACAGAATTGTTTAAATTTAAATTGAGAGCATCAAATCTTGTAAAACACTTTTTAGTTTCTTGGTATAATAAATTATCCTCTTTTTCCACAAAATCTTGATTGTTATGTAATCCATTATTTTCATATTGCTCGTATAATTCTCGTCTTTATTATTTGGTTTAATTCTCAACAAGTGGTATTAGAACAATTATGGTATCTTGTTTGTTTCATAACAACCACAGCCTGCAAACAATGTAAATTTCTAATATAGTCCTTCAATTTCTTTAATCAAGTTTTCAACCAATGAAGCTCAAATTTGAATTCTCTGCAAGTTCTCTATAGCAAATAATTATGAGGACAACAACCTATAGAGTCATAGTACGAGTGTCGAATTTTTTGGGAGGCATAGAACTGTCCAGCCTAAGTAAGTTGCCAACTTAAACAACTGAACTATTCATCCAGGTTATAACTAATAGTAAGGACTCAAAAGAAAAACTTCAGCCAATAACGAATTATTCAATGAATTATGAAATCATACCGTGTCAAGCAGGATGTTGGAGGCCTTAAAGTCTCTGTATATGACTTGCTTATCTGAAGCGTGCAAAAAAGCTAGGCCCCGAGCAGCTCCTATAGCTATTTTAAGTCGTATGTCCCATGATAAGGGTTCGATTGCAACACTTCCTGCATAAACAACCGAACCAAAAATAAGCATAAGAAAATCTTTCTTCCCATTCCTTGCTTCTCTCATTTTCAGGCTCAAGTTCTTACTTCTAAAAAGATGGTTTTCCAGGCTTCCCCTCTGCATAAACTCGTATACAAGTAAAAGTTCTTTATCTTCCCAGCAGTATCCATGGAGCTTAACCAAGTTAGGATGTGAAAGCCTTCCTAAAAAGTTGACTTCCGACTGCATTTCCAAATTAAGTGAAAACATTGTAAGTATTAATTAAAGGCATATGATATAAGAAAGAAAGATCATAAGACAGTCACTCGATTAAGACTTCCGAAATGGAAAGTAGCCGTATGATTCATGAGACGGAGACAATAAACATGAAGAGAACTTCAGTCAACAATGTTCCCAAGCACAGATACACACAGCCACAGCTTAAAACTTCTTCCAAATGAAAATCAATCAAATAAAAAGACAATCTTGCATCCTGCAATATAACCAGAATGATATAAAAGCCTCAAGTTACAATGATACTGATCCATCTTCTAACAATTTGAAAACTAAAATCTCTATCATTTAGAAGTAAAAGAATCATTGTGGAGAAGATTTTGGTAGTCATTTCCACATCATTACTAGAAAATAATCAATTGGACATGTAGAGAATTAGGAGTAGCAACAATGCCAAGTAGTCAACAAAAAAAATTTACTTCATTATCTTGTTTCTTCTAAAATGGATAATCTTGGTCAGTTGATATGCATATCTCAATACAAACCATGGGTAACAAGCTTGTTACAATCAAAGTTGCCACCCCCTTATCAGATAAAGCCATATCGAACGTTTGATTCTCATCCATAAATTTGCTTAGGGGCGTGCTTTGGTTTGAGATGTCATTTCTCTTTTGGTAACAAACTCATTTCACTATCAATTCATCAATCTCAAAATCGTATTGTGGTTGTAAATATTCAGTTAGGAAGTTGGCCATATATTGTGTTAGAAATCTTTTAGATTGCATGATATTGAAATTACCATATTTCCACATTGTCTTATTTAGACTTACTGTAATTAGGATTGTTAATTTAGGATTAATTTTCCTTCTCCTAATTTAGGAGATTCTTTTCCTTTTTTCTCTCTCTATTGTATTGTATATTGAGGGCTTTAATATTACTTTGATGTACACAGAAATACAGATTTTATTTCTGCTTTCAATTGACAAATAAGTTAAATCATTTTGCTCTTGTTACTGAAATGGTGAACCATAATTACTTAAGTTCATCATATTCCTTCACTAATTGCAATAATACGATGTTTGGGATTTTCTGGGTAGTCAAATTAATACATAAATATAGGTTCCACTAAAGCTATCGATATAATCCTTCACTAATCTAATTCCCAATATATCCAAACAAACTTCCTTACTGTTGTCATCATTATAAATGCTTCAAATTAGGTGCAAAATTTACCTTTTGGCCTGGTCCTTTAAAAAGTCCCAACATGGGAAAATTTTGATTAATATTAAGCCATCAAATTAGTTAAATAATTCAAACCAAGCAATTTCAGTAATATCACCTGCCATTCTTCAAACCCTTGTGTGCTCTTAGGGCTCAATTTCTTAATAGCTACCATCATTCCAGTACCAACTTTAGACGGTGAAAGTGTCTTTGAATCTACCCATCCCTTAAATACAGTTCCAAAGCCTCCAACCCCCAAAACCATATCAGACTTGAAGTTCTTTGTGGCAATCTTCAAATCAGCAAAAGTAAAAATCTTCAAATTTGATGTCGGCAATATTTCTCCAGACGCACACGTATCATCACTTGCAGCAGCAGAAAACCGGCTAAGCCCCGCACTGCTGCTCGTTGCAGAAAGACCTCCTCCATTGCTGAAATTACGCGACGTCACTAAAATATGGATAGCACAACCATATTAAATGTAAGCAAAAGAGAATTTTGCTCTTTCTGCTCAATCAAGAAAATAATTTTTCACAAAAATGGCAATTCATACATCTAATCGAAATGGATACGTCTACAAAATAGTGGGACAGACAAAGAAAGAAAACCCCTCAAGGCTAGTAATAAAGTTCCTTCACTTTTCTAAAGCAAAAATCAAGATACTCGTGAATTCTCAAAGACCCACAAAAGGAAACAGCATATATTCTAATATAAATGCAAAGCGAACAAACAAACAAAAGAAAACCCTCAAGATACACTTGAATTCTCAAAGACCCATAAAAGGAAACAGCATATATTCTGGTATTCACACAAAGTGAAGTAACAAAAAGTAGCCCCTACCTGGTGTAGAAGTGGAAGCTCTAGTGGAGCTAGAGAGATTAGGGTCAGTTGAAGGATGAGATCCAAAGCAATTCCCCATAAAAAATTTTACTATCAAAATCTTGTTAAGCTAAATCTTCAATAATAATTATAAAAGAGCTAGCAAGTATAATTTAGTTGAAGAATCTGTCTTGTTTTTTTTTTTTTTTT